TTTAGATAATATAGACAATAAAATATTTTATATTTGATTTTATTCTATATTTTATTGTTTATATTTTTATTTATATTATATTTATATTTTATTGACACCGGCAAGGGACATAAGTATCGCTTTTGAATCATTCATAAGTTTCCCTTCTGTTTTCAGTTTTTGTAACCAATTCTTACTATGTGTTTCCAGATCCCTACTATCACTAACACTTGCAAACCACGCATCACACACTTTAGGCAGCACAATCCTAACAGCCTGCGCACTTTGCCTATGTCTACTAATACACTACTTTCTTTTTCTATTGGTCTCTGGAATTGCCAGTCTGCTGTAAACAAAGCAGATTTTATTACTTCTATTACTAATCATTCAAAAAATGAACAATTCGCCTAACTCTTGCATGCTCTTTAAAACATTTTCCTCCCTCCTTTGTCCTCCTCCCCCTCCTTCATCAACTCTAACAGCTGATGACTTTACCACATTCTTCATTAATAAAATTAAAGTGCCTCAGTGCACAATTTGCCACACCACAAACTGTCAAACACATCTTACTAGCAAACATACACTCGTTTTCATCCTTCTCTCCACTCTCTGAAGCAGAAGTCTCTAAACTCATCCTTTCCAATCATCCAACTACTTATCTCGTATCTTGGAGAGGTGAGGTGTCCAAGTCGCAACATCTAGCTACTGGGGTGCCTCAGGGCTCGGTTCTTGGACCACGTCTCTTCACTACATGGCATCACTAGGTTCTGTCATTCAGAAACATGGCTTTTCATATCACTGCTATGCTGATGACACTCAACTCTACCTCTCATTCCATCCTGATGATCCGACGATAGCGGCTCGCATCTCAGCATGTCTAACAGACATTTCTTGTTGGATGACTGACCATCAACTTCAACTCCACCTGGCTAAGACAGAACTGCTTGTGGTTTCAACAAACCCATCACTTTATCAAAATTTCACCATCCAGTTAGGCTCATCAACCATAGCTCCTTATTGCTACTACATTGCTAAAACTGCCCGGTCCTGCAGATTTGCTTTATACAACATTAGGAAGATCAGGCCCTTTCTTTCAGAACATGCAACACAACTCCTTGTTCAAGCTCTTGTTCTATCCAGGTTGGACTATTGTAATGCACTCTTGGCAGGTCTTCCAGCCACTTCTATCAAACCTCTACAATTAATCCAAAATGCAGCTGCAAGATTAATCTTTAATGAGCCGAAAAGAACGCATGTCACACCTCTGTTCATCAATTTGCACTGGCTAACAGTAGCTGCTCGCATAAAATTCAAGGCATTAATGTTTGCTTACAAAACCACCACTGGCTCTGCACACCTTTATCCTAAATGCATTACTTCAGAGTTATGTGCCCTCTAGAAGCTTGCGTTCCGCAAGTGAATGACACATTATTGTGTCATCTCAAAAAGGCACAAAATCTTTTTTTAAATTTTTTTATTGTAGTGTCAGAGGCATCATTTCTGAGGTGGCACGAATAAAGGGGGG